TTCATACTTCTGGGCTTTTCGCAGAGATGTGTGGTGCGCCGTATGCTTCGTGTCATCTAGTCAGCTCTAGTGTCTAGTGGAACTTTCAGTAGTGATACAGCAGTACTGCAGTAGCAGTAAAGTCGAGTAGTAGTACAGTACCGCAGCATTACAGTAGAAAGGTTTGGAAGATTCCGGAGGCCCAGTCCCGAAATCCAAACCTTCTATGCGCAACCCTCCCCGGCCTCTTTTTGGTATCCTCTACTTACTAAAGATGGACCGTTTTAACGGATAGGAGAATGCAATAACCCAAGTCCGGTCGATTTTTTCAACATCTTAAGCGACCGCCCCTCAACATGCCAGATCCTGAATAAACACCGGCAACAAGGGCATTATGGGCTAGTTGAAGACACTGAACAGTTTTAGCTCTCGACCTATCTACTGACCGAAATGCCTCTGTCACTCTCACACTCTGAAAGAGCTAGCGCATGAAATTGGGTCTGTCAGCTGTCGGGAAAGACTTTTCTGAACTTGCAGGGTCGCACTTCTTTCCACGATTTTTCAAAAGCCTGAGACGTGCTAAGATAGGTTTCGAAACATCCTCGAACCCTAAACCCGAAACATGTGCACCCGACAGGAAAACAAGCATTGCCTACAGTCCGCGTGGACAAACCTGCTTGGCGTGTCAATGGTGTCATGCTGGGGCAGCCTGGTCTTGATGAGGAGTTCGGGTTCCGGGTTTCGGGATTGGGGTTNNGGGTTGCGGGTCAAGGGCCTAAAGGTTCAGGCTTCAGGGTCATGAGGGCGTAGACGTCCCGCAGGTACAGCAACTGCCAGACAGTCGGAGAATCCTGGCCCCGCGAAGTTGAAGCTTAGGAAATCCCATCACTACTCGTCTTCCAAGATCCCGGAGCCTCCTTCAATGGTACAGGCTTCCTCGAAGCCGTTGTAATACAAGCAACAGATGTACGTGGCTCTGAAGCCGAGAGCCCTTCGTAGAATCTGCTGTCACGCTCACTGCGAATGCTGCTGCGCTCAATCATGAGAGGAGAGAGAGAGAGAGAGAGTTGTGTAGCTATCTGCGTTTATATGCATCAGCTACATCTGCCCATACCTACATGCATTTGTGCGTATAGATTCATTTAAACGAATCTCAAAACTCAGACCAACAACTCAAACATAGCCCGGAAACCGCAAGCCCCAAACCATAAACCCACAGCCAGAAACCCTAAGACTAGCCGTAAGGCGCGCTTCGGACACGCTTGCTAATCCTTCCCAGAGCCCAAACCCTAAACCCTAA